ATAGATTGCATAGCAGATTTCTCAATGAACATGACATGATACAGTGAATAGTTACCCTTCTACGGTTCCACTTTGGGATGAACTGGGAGGCCTTTCCGGCTTGATTTGAATAAGAAATAGTCACAGATCAATGCTTATCTCTCTTTAATGACTAACTAGGTACAATGGCACAGTTGAGAAAATGGAGGAAGTTTTATGCGAAGGTCCTATTATGCGTTCCCAAGAAAACTCAGGTCTCCTCTCTTCTTCTGTTGGCCTTGTTATTTCCTTCGCTTATAACTAAAATCACCAGAAACAGAATCTAGAAACAACATTAACAATCACATCTATATAATTTTAGTGTTTGATTCTCTCTAAATAATTTTGAAACAAGTATTTCTTTCGATAGAGTGTGAAGAGAAGGTTTTTAGTTGGCGTCCTCCATAGAAAAGAGATACGTTGATCAATCACAACTCCACACAAACCAGTTTTTTTGTTACTTCCTTTTGCAGTAAACGTTATTCCATCAGCATCTCCACAGTGTCAGCACCAAAACGCAGACTGTGGTTTGATGCAGGACGATGATCATCAACTGGATTCTGCTCAGTATCTGAAGCAGAACATTGTCAGTGGCCACTGGCAGAGTACCGATAACCACAAACACTTTGAGACCGAGGCAAGTGAAACTGCTTGTTTCTTTGTTCCTTGCTTACAATCGCTGATAGAAGTGAAGGGAAAAAAATGAAAATATTATCTCCATGTTTAAAGCAATTCCCTAGAATCAACTTGCTCATAATATCGGTCATCAGCTAGTGTACAGTCTTACATTTTGCACTAAGATTCCTATAAAAATCCTAAAGTAATTTCAAACTTTAAACCATAAGTAAATATAATGGTCAGTGTTTTGCAGGAAAAGTGCAAAGAGTTGATGAACCAGCCTGATTCAGAGTGTTCAACGAATCGCATNTAAAAGTAAAGTGTCTAATTACGATGTGTGATTGTTATCACTTAAAACTTATGTCGTCCTTTTGACCTTATAAAATGCTTCACTGTTTGCAGGAGGAGCTAAAGGACCGATGAAATTGATTCTGTAAACTTTACCGGTAATACCTATTCGCCTTTGGCTTGTTTATGTTCATAATTGTGCTAAGTCTCTCTAGTATGCTAGTGATTTTTTTTCTTTTCGTTTTGGTTTATAATAATTATAAAAAGTTGCTAACAGTTGTAGATTCATTTAGAAGAAAAAAACATACACTAAATGCAAATGCAAACAAACAATATAGAGACATGAATACTTGCATTTTAAGTAATGTTACAAAGACTTGTGTATATGTTTATTAGACGTCAAATTCTGGCCAAGATATTTATAAGAGATTGGATCAGTGGAATATTATAGTTTTGCTTTCGCTATCACCCCTGGAAATTATTGACCACATATGTGCGATACTTATCAAGCTTGAAGAAAGTTGGTTTGGTGGGGACTTGGTCATATAAACGACAAGAACGTGAGTTTTCTTCTTTCGTACGCGATGAATTAGACGTAGACGTAGACATAGACAACATTTTTATAGAGATCGAAATTCACCATACTTATCTCAATTTTTCTTATAAGAAGCTGTTCCCTTCCAATACAATCCATTTTTTTATTATCATGGATTAGATATCTAGATTGACCTGTTCATGTNAAAAAAAAAAAAAATTTGGTCCACCATCCGATTTCATCGTTGGATCCAACTATCCAACATTTATCATTTTATGTATGTATATGTAAATAAATTATATGTCATTCTTAACCTCGTACAATCTTTTCGGTCAGAGGATCATAACATTTGTATATATCTAAATTATATAAATCATTCGGTAAGACTTGAAATCGTAATCGTCGAGTTTGGTAAAACCTCCACACTCGTATCCATTATTTTTACATTGATCAAGCCATAAATCAGAGTCATAACGCCTTCACAGTCTTGCTATAAAAGATCAGATGTTCAATACAACGTAGATTCATTATAATTAAAAAGTTACCTCTTCATTTTATTTTGAAACATGTGGTTAGCAATCTCATCTATTTGTACTATTTGCAGTATATGAGAAGCGGATAAACTTTTCTAAATTCCCTCTATATTTATTCGTAAGTCTAATTGACAATCACTTGAAATTGTTGGATTGAATTGTATGTGGTTTTTCCTTGTTATAAATAGGAAAAATAGAGGAGGAGTAAATAAATAGAGATGTCAAAGTATATAAATAGTTGCATGTAAGTTTAATCTAATCTCTCATATATTCATATAGCAATGGGTTCCTTCAATAATCTAATGATCTGTTGCCTTGTTCTTGCCGCGTCAACATTAGCTCTCTCGGATGTTGCATCATCAGGAGAAGCAAAAGCAACGAGAAGCTTGTTTGTGCTTCAGGAAAAAACTGTTATAATCATAAATTCCCTACCAGAGATCAGGAGGATCTCACAAGTTTCCTGTATTTCGAACTAGGAGAGACAATCATCCTCGTGGAAGACCATGTAAAGTATGCATTTGGGAGGTCGTAGCCAAAGGAAAAGATAACCAGATTTGTCGTAAACGACGTGATAATGGACCTGTTTGGTGTCCATTATCATAAATATTTATATTGAATTCATAGAAACATAAATATTTGGCCAAGATATTTATATGAGAATGGATCAGGGGAATATAGTTTTGCTATCTCTATTAACCGTGGAATTTATTGACCACATAATGTTTGATACTTATCAAGCTTTGAAGAGCTAGAGTTGGTTTGGTGGGGACTTGATCATATAAACGACGAGAACGTGAGTTTTCTACTTTCGCACGCAATGAGTTAGACGTACACAACATTTTCATAGCGATTGAAATTCACCATACTTTTCTCAATTTTCTTATAAGAAGCTGTTCCACTTAAAAAATGATTCAATTGTTTGGTGGGAAATTGACAAAAGATAGAATTTATCTTGGTTATTTAACTCGTCCAGAATTACTTGGCGTTACTAATCTGAAAGGAACAAATTTTTGGTTTCTTTGTTGGTGGGGGAAGAAGACAATTACAACAGAGAGGAGTAGCCACTAGCCACTTGGATTAATTTTCATTTTTTTCAGGAGGTGAAATTAACTTTCATCTTTTTATTAATCTAAATTTTGATTGGTTGGTTCATGGATTGGAGTTGTTCAAAATTTTCCAATAAAATTTGTTTATTTTGTGGGCACTAGAAAAAAAAACAATTAAGGTTATTGGGAGCATCAAAGATGGCATAGATGGTCCACCTTTCGATTTCATCGTTGGATCCAACTATCCAACATTTATCAGTTATGTATGAGTGTGTAAATAGATTAAATTCTGACAGAAAAAAGTTGGTAAGGACGTCTAGGGAAATGATTAAAATGGGCAATAATGAAATAATAAAAAAAAAAACGTGACTTTCAATGTGTTAACTTTATTTATACCTTTTGTAAATGTGTGCACGATATGACCCATCAAATCAAGTTTTGAGAACTTAATCACTAGATTTAAGTTTTTTGATTGGAAACTTTTATGTTTAATGGATAAAGATGAGCCGATGGCCTTTAAGATTGCATAGTTAATTGGTACTTCTACCTTATTTTTTAACACATTCGATTTCCAAATATGGGTATCGAAATAATCATTAAGATTTTGATATTTTATAATATTTGTGCGGATTCTTGAATTGATTAAAAACATCAAAGTAAAGTATCCTATCACTTCATTTTAGAGTGAAATTGGTGGTACTTGTTGGAAAAATTGTTAAGTTTCCACTCCTTTCATTTATTGCTTCATGTCTTTTTTTTCCAATTATTAAACCCATTAATTTTATTTATTTATCATAGTTAATTGAATTAATTATATAAAATTTTTTAAAAAATTAGTTTTACAATCTTTGCGTTTGCAGGTTTTATTATTTTTAATAAAATGTTTGTATGTTTTCGAAAGTTGGACTCATACTGTCAACATTTCAATTATTTTGGAAAAATATATTTTAGGTTAAATTTTTGGTTTTTCAAAATAAGGGAAGCTTTGACAATTCCTAAACAAGAAAAAACTCTTCACAATGGCTCGTAGTCTCTGTAATGCTTAAGACTGACACGTTGTCGTTTCGCATCATTATTTTATGTCGTAATTTTTTTCTACGTAGCAAAATATCTTTTAGTGTAGACCGACATTTATGTTTACAAACTAAAAACACTTTATTATTACAATAAAATATGTAAATCCAGTTAATAAAATCTACGGCAATTACAAAAATAATATTTTTGGTGTGCCATTTTTCAAAAATGCTATGATGGGTTATCCATTTGTAAAAATATCACTAATTATGGATATTTAAAACCTAAACCTTAAAATTCTAACCAAATCAAGTTTTAAAAAAATAAGAAAAATAATCAAGTTATTTAAGTAAATATATATAAAAAACTAAGAGTTATAATTACGATAGTTGTTTAGCACAACAAAAATTATAATTACCGATAGTTTTTTTTTAATCCTAAAAAATGCAAATTATTGGGGAAATCTGCGAGGCGTGTGTGCTACGTGTGTAGTAGAACAAGAAAGTGGTCAGTTCTGAGCAAATCGAAACACTTCAATGACAACGAGGCTCTGCCAACAAACAAACAAACGCACGTGTGTTGTTTTTGTTCATCATGCATATTTATTATTACTACTATTACTTTTTTATTTGTTTTTACTCTCAAACCAAAACAACCCACTTTACACATATCGAATTAATGTTGAAAAAATAGAATATATTTGATCAAAAAAGGTATCTAAAAAAAGTTTATGTCGACAAATAAAAAGATAAAAGGAATATGTTACTTTCATTATTTAATGGGCATAACGTGTTTCTTGATTACACATATCATTTGTATGGTTGTTGTAAAATTGAAGAAATATACGGTGGATACTTCTTTATCAAAAAAATTGGAGAAAACAGAAGTGAGATGTAGATGGAGTGAGGGTCCATGAAGATGAGATTGTAACTTGTAAGATTGTCAGAGTCAAATGAAATAAGTTGGACCAACCCTCTTTTTATTTTGTAATTTTCCTTCCATCTACCCCGAAATTCAAAACTTTTTTATATATGTAACCAAAAATTCAAGATTTTCTACCATCCATATACATGTTCAAATTATCTTTATTGTCCTTCTCCTTTCTCAAACAAACAACCTTTTGTTTTACAATCAGTGCATTTTAAATTTGTTTCACATTTTTTAAATATCAAAAAAATATATTTTTAACACATATAAAAACTCAAGACTTTGGATTAAGAGAAATTTAAAAAAATGTCACTTTTTCAAAATTATTTTTTCTTTATATCATTTATGTTTGGTTAATTATGATCTATTAGGGTTTATTTATGAGGGTTTAGGGGGTTTTAGGGGTCAAAACATTTTTTAGGGTTTAGAATTTTAAGGTATAGGCTTTATAAATCTATAATTAGTGGCATTTTTGCAAATGGACATCTCTAAGTGGCATTTTTGCAAATGGACACATAAAAATTGCATTTTTGTAGTTGTCCCTTGGATTAATGTGTTCGAAAACATATATCGCGATACCAATGGATTATCATACAGTTTAATACTGTATTTGTACTTTTTTTTCAAATTCGTGGTATAATTTTATGGAATATTTAAATTTTGAGGTAATAATATAAAATATCGGAACATTTGCAAAAAAGCCACTTTTGTGTCAACATTTGCAAAAATGCCACAAATTATGATTTTTTAGAGCCTAAATCTTAAAATTATAACCCTAAAAAATCTTTTGACCCCTAAAACCCTTTAAACCCTCAAAACTAAACCCTAATACAGCATAGTTAAACCAAATATAAATGATACAATGAATACATAATTTTGAAAAAATAGCATTTTTGCAAATATTGTAAAAATGTGGTATTTTTGTAAAGTAGCACTTGAAAAGTGTTATTTTTAAAAAAATTTCTAAAATATCTCCCTTGCCATTTTTTTTTTGCTTGATGCTATATATATGAATTTAAATGGAAAAAAAAACTGATTGTATTCATTCAAAAAGTAGAGTATTTACACACATGTGTTAACAAAACTCTATGAAAAAATCAGAGTTTTTAATTAGTCTGTAAAATGCGGACAATTCAATCCATATACGTGTCATTTTTTTTTTTTCATATACGTGTAATTGTAGTTTGCCATTTCAAAATGTTATC